GGAAGAGCGCCTCGGGGAACTCGACCGCCAGCACCTGCAGTGGCACTCCAAGCTGCGGCGCGCTCAAGCCCACGCAGCGGCGGCGCCGCATCACCTGCACCAGCCGCTGCACCAGCTGCTGCAGCTCGGGTCCCGCCAGCTGTGCCGGCTGTACCGGGGCCGCCACGGCCCGCAGCGCCGGGTCCCCGACCTGGCACACGCGCGGGTACGGCGGCTCCGGCGCTCCCTGCACCAGACGCCGCGCATAGCGCCAGTAGGAGCGCGGGGCGCCGGGCCCTCGAGGCCATCCGGGGGGGGCGTGGAGCTGCAGGCCCGGGCGCCGCCGCCCGCTACACGCTCTCCCCACTGCAAGGCCAGCCCCACGCAGCCACGCGCCCGCAGCCACCGCAGCAGCAGCCCAGCCCCCAGCTGACCCATGGCGCGTGGAACCTAGCCACCCGCCCGCACGCGTCCCTCGCTGGCCCCCGTAGCCGAAGCTCCCGCCCCCAGGGACTCCGGGAAGTGCAGTTACGGCGGGCCTTCCGGGAACGCCGGCGCCGCTCACACTTTCGCAGCCTGCCTCTGGGTGGCGTCCATCAGCTTTATTATTTAATTCCATTTCTGATAGTTTAATCAAGCATTTACAAGAATATCCAGGAGGTTCCCCCGTTAGTTATGCCTTCGCAGCCTCTCCCACGCGCGGCAACTCCCGTTCCCACCGGGCGCTGCAGTAAGTAAGCCCCTCGGGCGCCGGGGCCCCGGTACCCGCCGCGCTGGCCTGGGCGCAGGGGGCGCCTGTCAAGTGCCTGCACTAGGCTCGTCGGCTTCCTGCGGCGGTCCCACGGATCCCACCTCCTGTTGCCCCCCGTCAGGGAAAGCCGGGGTGACAGGTTCGAGGACTGGCCCCTCGGCGGAGGGTTCTGGCGCTGGAGCTGTGAACTCGGGGACTAGCGCCTTGTCGTCTAGACAGAAGGCCATCTCTCTCTTCGGCAGGATAAAAGCCAGAGGCTCCTGGACGACGCTGACGTTCACATGCCCCAGGTTTCCGTACTTGGAGAGCTGAGTGGGTGGAATACCTGGCCCAGAGGGTAAAGAATAGAAGTGGAAAAAGCGTTTAATGAATTTAATTATGTGTCACAGGTAAAAAAACAAAAACAAAAAAACACTTATTGGAAGTAACGAACACAGTTACCACATTTCAATACAGTAAAAATCACCTTTGTGATATGGGACAGGCACCTATGCGGTAAAGCCAGACTTTGAAAGTAATGGGAACAGCACAGTGCAGGACGGATGGAGAAAAAAAGTACCAGGAGAGCCTCAGCAGGCACTGGCTTCCCTGGACAGGCCCAAGGAAAAGCTGGGGGAACAGAGAGCAGCCACTCTGCTGGTGGGATCACTGGCCCATAGGGAAGGGAAGGCAAATTCTAAAAAATATTTTAAAAACACCATTTGTAAACATTTAATGTCAATGGAATCATACATTATGTGGTTCTTTTGTGACTGGCTTTTTCCACTTAGCTAGATATAAACATAATGTATGATTCTGTTGATAAGAAATGTCCAGAAAGGGCAAATCTACTGCAACAGAAAGATTAGTGGCTGGCAGGGGCTAAGGGCAAGAATGGGGAATGACCACAAATGAACACTGGGGATCTTTCTAAAACTAGATGGTAGTAACGGTTGCACACCTGTGTACACTTACTAAAAACCCTGAATTTTACAAATAGGTGAATTATTTAGTATGTGAATTATGTCAATAAAATAGTTTTAAAAATCTTTTCCCTTCTCTTACCTAAGGTCTGTGCCATCTGAGCTGGAGGAAAAAGGACTTGGAGACAGCGATTTAAATAAGGAACGAGGTCTTCCAGGAAGACAGTGCAGAACTGGACAAAGAGCTCTTGCTCCCCACTGCTGAAGGCAGCCTCTTCGGCACGATGGAAGGCCAGGATTACTTTTGTTACCTAAGAGACAAGGGCACCATCAATCACCGGGTTAGTCTATCACCATCAGCAGTGTATAAAACTAGGTACAAATGTGCACCCCTCAAGTTTTCATGAAGAAAGTTGTTCCAAACAGTACATGATATTATTATCTTGTTTAAATTCACAATTGTGGTCAATCTTCACAATTCTGTCACTTCACTGATGTATTTCTTATCCAACTAGTTTTACTACTAGTGCAGTTTCCAGTTCCAGTGGAGGAGCATCATGAAATTATACACAGAATACATTGCTTTTGGCTCCCATGGGAGATGGACCAGAACTATGGTGGATCCAGGAAGATGAAGCAACACTATAAAAGGTTTCTACTGAGTAAGGCCTCTGAAGTTCCACAATGCTAGAACCACTAGAAAATTGTAAAGGAGGAAAAAATAGAGCTGGAAAAGAAGTTCCACATACAAATAACAGCCTAGCTGACATTACAGGCAGGTGTCACAGTGACAGGTTTAAGAACATGAACTCTGGGGAATTCCCTGGCAGTCCAGTGGTTAGAGCTCTGTGCTTTCACTGCCGAGGGCCCAGGTTCAATCTCTGGTCACAAGCCAAGAGGCACGGCCAAACAAATAAATAAATAACGAACATAGACTCTGGTGCCAGACTTTCTGGGCTCAAACTCCAGCTGTGCCACTCACTGGTTCTGTGGCCTCTAAGTGATTACTTAAGCACCCCACGCCCTCTGTGCCTGAGTTCCCTCATCTATAAAGTAGGGCCAGCAACAGGACCTAACCTCACAGGGTTGTGAGAATTAAGTTTTAATATGTGTAAAGTATGATAAATTACGTGGCATGAAGTAAGCTCTAAATGAATATTAGCTAATTACTATTATCTGAATTTCACTGACCCTAAAAAGCTTCATTGCTCATGCTTCCTTGCTCTCTTTCTTTTTTTTTTTTTTTTTTTTTTTGGTT